TGAAAAAATTAATACTATTCTTTTGAGCTTCTGTATTAGTCCCTAAGTATGAATAACAAGAATAGTAAGCAACTTGAATAATATGATGCATTAAGATTTATAAAACACTCTCTCTTCAGAACAATCCTGTGAAGTAGAATTTCAGGTATTCTTGTCCTTACTTTTCAGATGAGAAGACTAAGACAGAGAAGGCTTAATCAACTGGTCATGGAGCGAAAGCCTGGTGACGCTCCTTCACTTGTTTCCATTTAATCGAATTGTTAAGCCTTCTGACTCAGAACACTCACCCTAAGACTCAGTCACCATGCTGATTGGTGTTCTGGAGCTAGAGAGCATGGTTCTCCAAATTCTGGATTTTTGCGGTCGTTAATGAGTGCCCTACAGGATCTGTGAAGACTGGGGAAAGGTTTTGTCCACAGCGCACATTCCCATTCTGGTAAGTGTACAGGCAGGCCAAGGGTTAAGGACGGATGAAAAAAACCCAGGAGAGTTTAATTTGGGTGGAGAAAAGTTACAGAAATTATTTTCTGACAAAAATACTAAAATACAACTTACATATTTTTATGGCAAAATCCTGAACCTACTTGCCACAGCTTTTTCAGAAGCTAAAACACAACAACAAAAAACCAAAACCCTACAAGTTAGTGCAAAGGTCCATGGGTGAAAAAGAACATTTTTATATTTTCATGTTTTTAAAAGTTACTCATTTACAAAAAAAAAAATGGAAAATAACTTGAATTTAAGTAACTTGGTTTGACAACAATCAAGAAATTATGTTTGATCACAATTTTTTTCCCCCTAATGAAGTATTTTACAATCAGGAAAAATCCATATATAACGTAAAACATCCACATAACTAACTCTAAAGCACTAAATTAGAACAAGTCATAAGGCAACTAAATAAAATGGTTCTATTATAAAGATAATTTTTTTCTTTTGTTTCTATACTTTATGTATATACATGTCGTAAGCCTAGGAAGAGCTAACCCACTTGGGTCTTCATTTTCCTGGACCCATGTGTCTTCACCTTCATCTGAACAAACTGAACCATTAGTAGCTATGCCTAGGAAGAGTTAAGCCTCTTGGGTCAGCACTCCATGGGCCCATGTCTCTTTAGCCTCTTTATCCACCACTTCCCTCATTTATCTCCTTGCCAACATGGACATTCCCCCTTTCCTCCTCTGGCTCACAGAATCAACTTTATCATTGCCTCCAGAAAGGACAAAATGAACCGCCCCTATTGTTCTATTCAAGAATACACAGAACTACACAAGAAAGATTTTAACATCACCAATAACCACGATGGTGTGGTTACTTATCTAGAGCCTGACATGTGGAGAATGAAGTCAAGTCGGCCTTACGAAGCATTGTTTACAATAAGGTTAGTGGAAGTGAAGGAATCCAAATATTTAAAATACTAAAAGATGACTCTGTTAAAAGCGCTGCCAGCAAATTTGGAAAACTCAACAGCGGAAGCTGGATTGGAAAAGATCAGTTTACATCCTAATCCTAAAGAAGGGTAATGCCAAGGAATGTTCAAATTACTGAACAATTGCGTTTATTTTATTCGCCAGCAAGGTTAAGCTTAAGATTCTGCAAGCTAGGCTTCAGCTATATGTGAACTGAGAATGACCAGAGGTGCAAGCTAGTTTTTCGAAGAGACAGAGGAACTAGAGACCAAATTGCCAACAATAGCTAGATTATAAAGAAAGCAAGGGAGTTCCAGAAAAACATCTACTTCTGTTTCACTGGCTATACTAAAGCCTTTGACTATGTGGTTCACAACAAAATGTGGAAAGTTCTCAAAGAGATGGGAGTACCAGATCATCTTACTTGTCTCCTGTGAACAGGCTCAAGAAGCAACAGTTAGAACTGAACATGGAACAGCTGATTGGCTTAAGACTGGAAAAGGAGCATGACAAGGCTGTATGCTATCACATCTATTTAACTCATATGCAGAGTACACTGTGCAAAATGGCGGGTTGGATGGATCATAAGCTGGAATTAAGGTTGCTGGGAGAGACATAAATCTCAGACATGCAGACAATACTGCTCTGATGGCAGAAGAGAAGAGGAATTAAGAACCCTCTTGAAGAGAGTGAAAAAGGACAGTATAAAACCTGGCTTGAAGTTTCACCTAAAAAAAAATGTAAGATTTTGGCAACTGGTCTCATCATTTCTTGGCAAACAGAGGGAGAAAAAATGGAAGCAGTGTCAGATTTCACATTCTTGGGCTCAAAGATCACCACAGACGGTGGCTGCAGCCATGAAAATAAAAGACAGTTGCTTCTTGGAAGGAAAGCTATGGCAAATCTGGACAGCACACTAAAAAACGGAGATAACACTTTGCCAATGAAGGTCTGTATAGTCAAAGCTATGGTTTTTCCAGTAGCGATGTATGGCTGTGAGAGTTGGATTATGAGGAAAGTTGAGTTCTGTGGAATTGACACTTTTGAGTTGTGGTGCTGGAGAAGACTTCTGAAAGTCCCTTGGACAGCAAAGAGATCAAATCAGTCAATACTTAACGAAATTAATTCAGGCTATTCATTGGAAGGTCAAATGCTGAGGCTGAAGCTGAAACACTTTGGGACTCTTTGGAAAAGACCCTATGTTGGGAAAGATTGAAGGCAAAAGGTAAAGGGGATGGCAGAGAATGAGATGGATAGATGGTATCATGGAAGCAATGAACATGAATTTGGACAGATTTCTCAAGATACTGGAGGACAGAAAGGCCTTGGGGTTGACTGAACAATAAATTGTTCTATTCATCATTTTGTGATTTCCCACACCAAAACTCCCTAAGGGTGTGGCTACCACTCCCCAATATAGGTGGTGTCCTGGAATAAAATCTAAGATCCTTGAGGACAAAGTTGTTGTACAGTCGTTTTAGTTGTGTCTGACTTTCACGACGCCATTTGAGGTTTACTTGGCAAAGGTACTGGAACGGTTTGCCATTTCTTTCTCCAGCTTATTTTACAGATGAGGAAAGTGAGGCAAATAGGGCTAAGTGACTTGTCCAGGGTCACACAGCTATTAAGTCTGTGACATTGGATTCAAACTCAGGTCTTCCTGACTCCAGGTGTGGCACTCTATCCACTGTGCCACCTAGCTGCCTAGTTGAGGACAAAGGATTGCCTTGCTTTTGTATTCATAGCAAAAGAGTAAGCACTAAATAAATGCTTTTCATCCATTCATCTAATCCTTCCAGTAAAATGTAAGTTACTTGAGGGCAGGGACAGTTTTGTTTTTGTATTCCTAGGACCTAACAAAAAGTCTTGCAGTGGTAGGTGTTAAATGTTTGCTGAACGGAACTGAATTATATTCACACTCTCACATGTAATCTATTATAGTCCTATTGTGGAGTCTTTTCATGATCACAGGTTGTGATTTTAAAATTTCCTCTTAATATATTAATTTTTCTTCTTTTTATTCCTTTTCTCATACACACACCTCTCCTACCACATGATTCCTTAGTGCAAAAGAAATTAATGGATTTCCCATTCTCCTGAAAAGTTATTTCCTACAGTAGGAGATCTCTACATTCTTACATGAATGTTCAAATCCATCATTTTAGGATTTAATACTTTTATAAAATATTTAACTGCTATTGGGTATTTTCAAGAATTTGTAAGCAGTTTTGGGGAATGGCTGAACAAGTTGGGGTATACGAATGCAATAGAATACTACTGTGCCATAAGAAATGATGAGCAAGTAGACTTCAGAAAAACCTGGAAAGACTTGTATGGACTGATGGTGAGTGAAGTGAGCAGAACCAGGAGAATGTTGGACACAGTAACAGCCACATTGTTTGATGACTAACGTTGATAGACGTGGCCCTTCTCAGCAATGCAAAGATCTCCAAGTCTCATGATGGAAAATGCTATCCACATCGAGAGAAAGAACTATGGAGTTTGAATGTGGATTGAAGCATACGATTTGCTTTTTTTTTCTTCTGTTTTGGTTTGTTTCCTCTTTCTTGTGGTTCCTCCTATTGGTTCCAATTCTTCCTTACAACATGACTAATGTGAAAATATGTTTAAAAGGAATGTATATGTAAAGCCTGTATCAAATTACACACTGTCTTGGGGGAAGGAAGCAGAGAAAAATTTAAAACTCAAAAGCATATGGAAGGGGAAGCTAAGTGGCAAAGTGAACAGAGCTCTGGCTTTGCAGTCAGAAGGACCTGAGTTCAAATCCAGCCTCAGACACTTAACACTTACTAGTTGAGTGACCCTGAGCAAGTCACTTAACCCTGATCATCTCACCAAAAAAAAAATATATATATATATAATATATATATATATATGTATATGGAAGTGATTGTTGAAAACTAAAAATAAATTAATAAAAATAAGAAAAAAATAAAGTTCAACCAGGAAAAAAAAAAAGAATTTGTAAGCAGTTTTAACTACCTCTAAGTTTCCTATTCTAGCCAGATCGTCACTGAGAACAGTACAGCTTTGTCATTTGTTCAATTAATTTACTTCCAATTCAATTACTCCATCTCTCTCTATGCTTAACCCTTTCCAGACCTACTCTTGGTCCTTAATGAGACCTGAAATCCATCTACACTTCCTCCCTACTTAGCCAGGCTATCACCCCTGCTCTGGCTATACTCTCCTCAGTTTCCAATCACGACTCTTGGTGAGTCAGTTAAAACTCTACACCAGGGCTGGGGAACCTTTGGCCTTGAGGCCACATGTGGCCCTCTAGGTCCTCAAGTGTGGCCCTTTGACTGAATCCAAATTTCACAGAACAAATCCTACTTCTCTACACTCTATTCTCAAATCCCTTGTTCCTTGTCCAATCTCTATTCATGGAACCACGATCATTGGGTCCACTACAAATTTATATTATCTAATCTCAATTGGGCCCTTGCTGCAGCAAGACACCTCTACTATTTCTCCCTAATAGACTTCCTATTCTACACACCATAGCAGCTGTTCCAAAGCTTTTCTTCTCAAACTTTTTATAAACAACCTCTTCCTTCTCACCACCTTTTCAGCTGCAGAATCTTGCCTCATCCAGAAATACTGAGACCATCCACCGAGACCCTCTTCTTCCTTTCTGACCTCCTTTCCCAGCAGTGAGAAAATGTACTTCCCTCCTCTCCACTTTACTATGGGTAGGGAACACTACAGATTTAGTAAGACTCTGAAGATATATGTTGGTGAGAGTAGTCGAACGGCTTTTTTTTTCCTTTTATAAAAAACTGTCAAAAGAGACAGTCTGCTACGTAGGAAGGGGGAGAAGACAGGTGGTGTAAAAATAACAGGAATCTACAAAAATTAGGGGACAAGTAGAAAAATAAAGAAGCAAACAGACTTGAATAAAAATCTGAAATAAAAGTGACAAGTAGGGAAGCAACCTTGAGAAGGCGATGTAAAGGAAAATACACAGTAGGTCTCTATGACAAAAACAAAACACTGTACCTTCCAATGAATCCCTCACAGGTCATCAAAAAATAGTTAGGAGGCAGCACATTTCACAGGTACCATTGCAATCAAGCATTAACACCTCAAATGGAAACTGTAAGTTGGAATCTTATACCACTTTACAGATACTTTAAATAAAAAGCCTACTACGCAAGACTTTTTCAGAAACAACCTACTGAAATCAATAAATTAATTTCTACACAGCAACTTAAAAAAAAAAGCCAGTAGAGTACACGTGATTTACATTAAAACACATGCAAGACACATAGTTTTTTTAATGAGTCGTTTGTTTCTTCCCCTCATATTCTAATAGACATAAGAACAACTATAACTACCTATTTTATTAAACTTTTCCCACTAATTAAACAGGAATAAGGATGCTCTTACATGGATATAGCTTACTAGGACCTAAAAACAACATTTAAACTTAGGATAACTATGTTCAATTGATGAAAACCATGAGAAAATCGAAAGTTCCAAAAATTATGTTTCCAAACACACACTTGTTTAAATCACTGCAAATGGATATAATAAGCCAGTAACAGGCACAGCAGGGTTTTGATATGAGAGTCAGGTTAGATTTCTTCATGCAATTTCTGGTTTCCCTTCCTATGTTGACAAAATTCCAAGGATGCCACAGAAGGAGTATGTCTTCAGTTCCAGAAGCCAAAAGAAAAGACTTCCCTTTTTGATCCAACAGTTCCATTCAATTGGAAAACTGAATGCCGAGGTCCTGAAGATATGTTTGTTTTTTGTTTTTCTTCTGTTGAATTTTCCTTCCTGGAATGTTTCCAGCTATTGCAAGAGGCTTATGATTATGGGAAGATAAAATGCGAATTAAATTAAATCCCTACAAGTGGGGTGGGTCAAATGATTGTTTTGAGGTTAAATCTTGGAATTGAAAAGTTCACCTTAGACTCAGTTTTGGTCTCTAAACAACGGAAATCAACAACAGTTCATTCTACGGGCCAGAGAGCCCATGCTGCACTGGGAAGCAAGAGAGCGATGAGGATGGAAGAAAACAGGTTCACAGCATTGTTATCAAGAATAGGCTTCCCCGATATGTATTTTGTCTCACCAGTTGGCTGGCTGACAACTGAGCGGGTGGTTTCATCCCAACCTGAAGCGGAAAGGAAGGAGACATAGTTGGAGGTTCAGCTCACAAATTATAGAAAACAATACTGAAATGAGGTACAAGCAAACCACCTCTTAAAGACACACTCAACCATTTAGATCTCTAAGTCACAGAAAGGGCGTCAGGTTTGGATTTTAGTGGAGAGGGTCTACCTGCTGGTCAAGTTAAAGCAATAATTTCATCATCACCCCAGCTCTTAGCATGGCTCCGAGCACACTGTAGGTGCTTAATAAATGTTTATGGATTTATTGATTCACTATGGAGATTCACAACAAACATCGTTGATGAAACAATTTTGTGGTTCGGTTTTCAGTTGTGTCCGACTCTTCATGACCCCGTTTGGGGTTTTCTTGGCAAAAATACTGGAGTGGTTTGCCATTTCTTTCTCCAGCTCATTTCACAAATAAGACAATGTAACCTTATTACTAAACAGAAATGATCAAGTAAACCAAATGAGGAATAAAATGTAATCATGAACAAAGTCAAGAGGAATAAAATCACACATAAAAATTCAAGTATTTACATTTTCATAAAAGGAAGGCTAAACAGTTACAAGATCTTCTTTTCTCTCCGTTTTCTTCCTATATCTTTTCGGTCTGTGTATGTTTGAGGAGGAAAAGATGGACCGGGAGAAAGGAAAGTCTGGACATGTGATTTCAGTGATCTAGAAAACTCCTGAACGACTCAGACTGGAAATTTATCAGCAAATTTTAATCGTATTGGCTGCAGCACTAGTGTGTCGAGACTTGAACCCAGGCCTTCGTGGTTCTAAGGCTGGCCCTTTATTCAATATGACATGCTGTTTCTCTGTATACATATAAGATTTTACTTTGGTTATTTTTAAAACAGGCTGTGGCTACACTCTTAGATTTCTGTTTTCTTCACATATTTTCCAAGTTCTTTTTGCGTCCTTTATATTTATAATCTTGAATGGCACAAGGGAAGAGCAGTGACTCAGGAATTAGAGGACCTCAGTTCAAATCCTACCTCTGATATTTACTACCTGAGTGATCTTGGGCAGGTCATTTCCCCTGGGCCTCAGTTTCTTCATCTGTAAAACTATTGGGTTGTGTCTGAAGTTCCTTCTAATGTTAGAGCTATTCCATTAGATACAACTCCAAAATCTATTCAGTCATTCCCCAACTGTTGGGCATGGAGTTTAGTTTTTCACTTTTATAAACAAAATTATTTTGGTAAAGATAAGTCTCTTTAGAATTGCATCCTTAGAACTCAGTTTTATAAATGGGATCACGGGCCAAAGTATATGATCAATTTTGAAAACTTTATATATGGACTGACCTTTGATTCTTCTTCATTTTCTCCCCAATTCTTTATAGATCAATATAGTTAAACTGAAGTTTAAAAGGTAATGTAAGTATACTTGCCAGAGTACTGCATTGTTGCTCCTAAGTATGAGTCAATAACCGATCCCAATAAACCAGCCATTCCCGCAAATGCAACGACCGGCCATTGGGGAGCAGAAGATTCCAAATCATTCACAAAAATCAGCTGGGTGAAGAAGAAGGCCATGCCCACCAAGGACCCACCAAGAAAGCTGGAGAGAAAGCCTACCGCCGTGACCCCTCCATTGGTACCTAAAAAACAAAAACGTCCCCATTGAACTAAGAAATGTCATTTGTTATCCTGGGCAACTTAAAGAGAATTTAACAACCATTAGGACTACTGTTTACAATTACGGATATAAATGTGATGACAAATGGATGAGGGGAAGTATCAAAGCCATCACGTTGGAGAAGCAGTGGATGAGAGCGCTGGACCCAGAGTCAGGAAGACCTGAGTTCAAAACTGGCCTTAGACACTAAATAGCTGTGTGCTTCTGGGCAAGTCACTTAGCCTCTGTCTGCTTCAATGTCCTCATCTATAAAATGGGTATATAATAACAGCACTTACCTCGCAGGGTTGTTGTAAAAATCAAATGAGATAATATCTGTAAAGCATTTAGCACAGTGCCCAGCACATAGTAGGTGCTATGTAAATGTTAACTATTACTAGTAGTAGTAATAAACAGACACCTGAGGTGAGCTTTGAATAAATGAAAAAGCATTTACTGAGTGCTTACCCTGGGGCCATTCATCATGCTAAACACTAGGGATATAAAAGAGACAAGAGTAGGTGCCAACAAGGAGATAACTTAATGATAAGTGAAGACAATACAGAAAGGACAGCAGGAGGTGGAAATCTAGGGCTTCCAGAGCTAAGGAGGGGGTGTATTCTAGGCACTGGGGACTGCCTGGGCAAAAGACTGAGAGAATGTGAGAAGCGGTAAGAAAGCCAGTTTATTTGTAGCCAAGAAAACATGAAGGGGAGTGATGTTCACAGGAACCATTAGATAAGGAATCATTGAAGACGAGAGGATGACTGTGGGGGCAATCTGGGAGAAGCTGAGCAGGGATGGCATGGGCTGCGGTGAGGAGGACCACCTCTGGAAATGTCCCCGGCTTCTGAGACACAGGGGAGGGGAGAGGAAGCTCACTGGGATCGGGAACAGTCTCTACTGTCCCCGATGAAATATGATTATAAGGTCTTCAGCGCACTTAGGGTTGGGTGCTGTAGTGGAAAACCGTTTTGCATATGTTTCTTAAACTCTGTCTTGTTGCTTGAGACTCATCTTCCAGTTTCGAGTTGCGATGTAGTTTTAATTTGCTGCGGAAATTTACCAGCTGGCTTGCTGAATCTCTCATGCCTTGGCCTCCCTTGATTGAGTATTCTGATAAAATACCTTCCCCTTACCTTGTTCCTAGGTACAAGTCCCTAATTGTCTAAGGTTAGAACACTGGGCGGTCCTTCCTTACTCAGTACCTACAAATAAGCTTTATCACTGTTCAGATGCATAGGGGGAACGCCCCATAATGCCCTATCCCCATCTAGATGGTTAGGGGAGCACCCTATAAAAACCCTAGTGGAGCAAAGTCTCTTGACTGCATGATTGTCTCCTACCCTCGGCTGAAGCACCAGAAATTCCTCCTCTCTCCTTTTTCTTATTTCCCCTAATAGGTTTTGCCAACTTATACTGCGGACCTCTGGGCTTTGCTCACTACCCTCTAGAAACCTCAGCATGCTGCTAATAAAGCTTCCTGTAATGACTCTTGAAGTTTTCCTTTCCTCTCAGAATCCAACTGAACCATCTATATAGGCAATAGGTAAAGGGTAGACCACTGGTACTTCTCTTTAGCTTAATGAGTGGCTGAACAAAGCTAAGACTAGGTTTCCAGGCAGGTGTATATTTGTGAGTAGGACCTCCTGCCCTCACTAAAGGGACCAAGAGTCTTCTGATCCTCAAGGCTGAGGGTCTAAACCTCCTGCCTCAGTGTTAGGGAATAAGACCCGGATGTCTCTGCCGCAGTGGAAGGGAGTTTCTTCCCTGTTGAGGCTCATACCCCTAGCGATACAGGCGTCATGTAGGAAGCTTGACAAGAGAAGAAAAAGTCTGGAATAGCCCACTAAATGGGAAGTGAGACAGAAAATCACTGAAAGGAGCTCTGATATTCAACATGACCTTTTCTAAAAGCTGAAGGGAGGAAGGTTTGGGTAACTACATAAACCACGACTAGTTATAAAGAAAGGATTGTCTCCTATGAGATGAAAGACAATGGGCTATCTAGAACATTTATTCTTTCTTCTTCTTTGCTCGTGCGATCCCAGGACAGATATTATCATGGATTCTAAGGTTTCCCTCTGAAATCTCTCAGAGAGGTATCTTGGTATAGTGGATAAGGTGCTGGCCTTGGAGTTGGGAGCAATTGACTTCAAATCCTGCACCCAGATACTTCCTAGCTGTGTGACCTTGGGCAAGTCCCCAACCTCTTTGTCTTCAGTGTCCTCATCTGTAAAATGAGGGGACTGGGCTCAGTGTCTTCTTCTCCCCCCCTTTTTTTGGGGGAGGCAACTGGGGTTAAGTGATTTGCCCAGTAAGTGTCTGAGGCAAGATTTGAACTCAGGTCCTCCTGACTCCAGGGCCAGTGCTCTATCCACCATACTACCTAACTGCCCCTGACTCTGACTTCTAAGGTCCCTTCCAACTCTAAATCTATGACCCCATGACAAGTGACTCTATCTCTAGCTAGAAAATGCCTATGAATATTTTATATTAATAATAAATTTTATTTTATGTTAATAACACTTATATTTTATATTGACAAATATGTGTTTAAGTTATATTAATAGAAAATACTTTTTATTTATAACAAGTTAAGAAACCTTACCAATTTTGACTGATTAAATCCTCACTTTCAAAGCCTAAATAAGATTAAACAGACATTAAACCAAGAGATTTAAAAACCAAGGTCACGCCTCACCAATTGGAACTCTTTGCCAGGTTGTTATCAGCCTTGGTTGGGTAGTACTCGCGACAGAGCCAATTTCTGAAGCCCATGTGTCTCCTGCAGAGGAGGCCAAGGAAGCCAAGAGAGACAAACACATCCAGGAAGCGGTGTACTGTTTGGAGAAATCAATGCAGATTTCACCTGGCCCATTTTCTATCATGTAAAGCAATGCCAGCTCTGTAGGTACAGCTCCATTACAGAAAACCTGAATCCAATTTCTCTGCCCCCCTGCAGGAAAAAAAAAAAGACATGCTTTTACGTTCAAAAGGAAATGCTTAAAGAATTATAAAAGCCACCTGCAGAAGCGATGTGTATTTTTTTTAAACTGTGAAAGGCAATGGAAGATATGATTGTGGAATCCTTATGTGTTCAGTATTGACTAAAATAAGGATAAAATGTATGACAAAATATAATAAAATGTATTATGGCTTAAACTGTGCTGATGGCTGCTGTCACAATTAAATGATTAAAAAGAGAACAGATTAAATGCTCTAAAATTCTATGAAAAAGACTACATTGGCGACTATCATAAATGACTTGCTTACACTTTAGGACAGAAAGGAAAAGAACCAAGTTCAGGGCAGACAGCTTGGGATATTGTATGGTGAAACACAATTTACTTGTTAGGTATCAACAGATATGATAAAATTTACCTTCTTTATATTCGGGATCTAGACGCTTCTTTTCTTCTTCTTTCCACTTGGTGAGTTTTGAGGAAGATATGAAAAATGTCATCAAAGAAGTAAAAAAGCTCAAATTTGCGATGGTCAAGATAAATCCGACTACTACTCCTGAAAGAGACACAATGAAGAAACATACAAAAGTTAAGTCTATACTTTCATTAATTTAGAGAGAGAAAAATAAAACATGACTTTTCTACCATTTCAAATACATGTTTCCAAAATTTACACTTAGCAATTATATATTCCTAAACACAGAGAGAAGCTGGAGCTGTTTCAGGCCCATTTGTTTCTTTTCTTTCCTTTCTGTATAACAAATATAAGATCAGCTTCACCAGTCTCTCCCACAGAGACTATTCTATTTACTGTGCTGTTACTATACTTTTAAGAGGCAATAAATTCTTTTGCATTTATATGTTTTATTACTTTGTTATGTTATATTTATAATTTTCCTAATATTGAAGCAATCCTGCATGCCTGATACATACAAGGGTAAAATCTTCTTAATATATGTATTAAAACTTCTATGCTAATATTTTTGTATCATATTTACCATAGAATCTAAGTCTGTAGTTTCTTTTTCTGCTTTATCTCTCCTTGGTTTAGAGAAAAGAACTGTATTTGTCTCACAGAAGGTATCTGGTAAGATGTCTTTTTTATTTACTTTTGCAGACAGTTTATATCACATTCGAATTAAGTTTTCTTTAAATGACTGCTATAATTCACTTGTAAAGCCATGTAGTCCAAGTAAGAACTCTTTGTTTAATAAGATGTTGCAATTTTAGTAATTAATGTGGAAATATCAAAACACACCCTTTCATTACTTTAGAACCCAGAGAGGAGTCTATCAGCCAAATGTGGTAGACTTTAAAGCCTTGCTTTCACAAATAGTGCTATATAAATGTATTATTAGCTTCTGCCCTGAAACTAAAGTCATTATACTTTTCTAGGAACTTTCATATTCATTACTTTCATTTTCACAATAACCCTGTGAAGCATGTAGGGCCCTAATTAACCATATTTTACAGGTGAAGAAAATGAGGTTCAAGTAAGTTAGATGATTGCCCAAGGAAGCTATATTTTATTAGTGAAGCCAGGACCAGCATCTTTCTCCTAATGCATAGAGTTAGAAGCAGCTAGGTGGCAGAATAGGTAGGAGTGCTGGGTTTGGAATCAGGAAAGCCTGAGCTTGAATTCTGCCTTAGACACTTACTGGTTGTGTGATTCTGTGCAAGTCACTCAGCCTTTGTTGTAACATATAGGAAATGGATCTACCTTACAGGGTTGATGTAAAAATGAAATGAGATTACATATGTAAAAAACTTGGTGAACTTTAAAGCACTATGTAAATACTATCATAACAACAATAGCTAACATTTATATAGTGCCTACTGTATACCTGGCACTGGGCTAAGCCCTATTATCTCATTTTATCCTCAAAACAACCCTGGGAGATAAGTGCTATTATTATCCCCACTTTACAGATGAGAAAAGTGAGGCAAACAGAGGTTAAATAACTTGTTCAGGGTCGTAAAGCTAATATTAATAATAGCTAACATTTACATAGCACTTACAATGTGCCAGGCACTGTGCTAAGCACTGTACAAATATCATCTCATTTGGTTCTCACAACAACCCTGAGAGGTAGGTGTTATAATTTTTCCCACTTTACAGCTGAGAATATTGAGGCAAATAAAGGTTAAGTGGCTTGCTCAGGGTCATACAGTTAGTGCATAATATAATAATAGCTAACTTATCTCTCTGAGTTCAAATCTGGCCTCAGACACTTACTAGCTATGTGACCCTGGGCAAGTCACTTAATCCTGTTTGCCTCAGTTTCTTCATCTGTAAAAACGAGCTGGGGAAGGAAATGGCAAACCATGCCAGTAGCTTTACCAAGAAGGTTTCAAAATGGGTCACAAAGAGTTGGACACGCAAAGGATATGAATAGGCAGTTTTCAGATGAAGAAATTAAAGCTATCTACAGTCACATGGAAAAAATGCTCTAAATCACTATTGATTAGAGAAATGCAAATCAAAACAACTCTTAGGTACCACATCACACCTATCAGATTGGCTAACATGACAAAACAGGACAATGATAAATGTTGGAGAAGATATGGGAAAACTGTAACACTGGTGCATTGTTGATGGAGTTGTGAACTGATCCAACTATTTTGGAGAGCAATTTGGAACTATGCTCAAAGGGCTATAAAAATGTGCATACCCTTTGACCCAGCAATACCACTTCCAGGGCTGTATTCCAAAGAGATCCCCAAAAAATGGGAAAAGGACCCTCATGTACAAAAATATTTACAACAGGCTCTTTCTGTGGTGGCAAAGAATCGGAAATTGAGGGGATGCCCATCAATTGGGGAATGGCTGAACAAGTTGTGGTATAATGAATGACTTGCATGGACTGATGCTGAGTGCAGTGAGCAGAACCAGGAGAACACTGTACGTAATAACAGCCACATTGTGCGATGACTTTGATAGACTTTGCTCTTCTCAGCAATGCAAGGATCTGAGACATCTCCAAAGGTCTCATGATGGAAAACGCTATTCACATCCAGAGAAAGAACTATGGAGTTTGAATGCAGATGGAAGCATACTATTTGCTCTTTTTTTTTCTTCTGTTTATTTCCTCTTTTGTGCAGTTCTTTCTATTGGTTCTAATTCTTCCTTACAACATGACTAATGTGAAAATATGTTTAATAGGAATGTATATGTAGAATCTGTATCAGATTGCATGCTGTCTTGGGGAGGAAGGCGGAGAAGGAGGGGGAGAAAATTTAAAACTCAAAAGCTTATGGAAGTGATAGCTGAAAACTAAAAATAAAGTAATTAAAAAAACTAAAAAGAAAAAAAGAGTTGGACACAATTGAAAGGACTGAACAGCAACATTTACATGGACTTACGATGCACTAGGCACTGTGCTAAACACTGTACAAATAAGATTTCATTTGGTCCTTACAACAACCTTAAGAGGTAGGCGCTATTATCCCCACTTTATAGATGAGAAAACTGAGGCAAACAGAAGTTAAATGATTTGCTGAGTGTTTGATTAAAGTGTTTGAGGTAAAATTTGAACTCCAATCTTGCTGATTCCAGATCTGGCTCTTTATCCATGGTGACACCTAGCTTCCTTCGATGATGATGATGATAATCATCATCATCAGATTTATACATTTTCCAACACTTTAGGCTATTTGTATAATAGGCAGAAGCTACAGAGTCAGTTTTCAGTATGATGTAAGAAAAATTTCCTAACAATTACAGTAATTAAAAAGCAAAACAGACTATCTGAGGTGGAAGGGCACTCTTTCCCAGGGATAATGGTAATGTAAAAAAAGCCTGGTTTTGTCTAAAATACATTATCTGTCTGCTTGTTGGGGGCTATTTACTTTTCTGGTTGGTAGATTCTGTTAAGGGGGCCTTCAAGGACCCCCCACTCTTTCCATCCATCCTGCTAACAACAGTTTCAAAAGAAATCTAACAATTTGACAACAAATACTACTGAGGAGCCTTCTGTCTCACTTCTGTGATCTGTGCCAGTCCCTGCCCTAGATCCACTCATCTCGGCCTTTGTCTACCCTGGCCCCTAATCCAACTGTTGAAATACTTTATTCAGTTAATAAACAGCTGGTAAACATTTACCAATCTCCTTCTACGCACCAGGCACTGTGCTAAGTGTTAGGGACACAGGAAGAGGCCAAAGAAGACTCCCTGCCGTCAGGGAGCTCACAGTCCAATGGGGGGTGGGGGGTGGGAAATGGAACAATATGCAAACAACTATGTATAGATAAGCTATATACAAGATAAACTGGAAATAATCAACAGAGGGATTCCCTAAAACTGGATGTCCTAAAACGAAGCCTCAATGACCAGCTATTGGGAATGTTGCAAGGGGAATCCTTGCTTCAACGTGGCTTAGATTAGCTAACATTCCAATTCAGAGATTTTTAATATACAATCTTGGTAAAGGGCAGATGAATTCCCAGGTACTACATGCTGATCCTTACCAGTGGTATCATCAGGGCACTAGCCTTCTCTTGTCTACTCTTAAAAAAAAAAAAAAATATATATATATATATAAATATATATACACACACAAGTATATATATATATATATACACACACATAAATATATATATATATATACACACATATATACACACACATATACATATCTTCCCACAGACACTAGCTGTGTGACCCTGTGCAAGTCACTTAATAACAATAACAATAGCTAACAATTACATAATGCTTACTCTGTGCCAGGCACTATGCTGAGCACTATACAATTATTATTTCATCTGATCTTCAAAACCTATGTGGGAAGCAGGTGCTGCTATTACTATGTCCATTTTACAGATGAGGAAACTAAGGCAAATGGAGTTAAGGAACTTGCCTAAGGTCACATAGCTAGGAAGTGTCTGAGGCTGGATTTGAACTCGTGAAGATGAGTCTTCCTAATTCTAAGCCCAGTGCTCTATCCACTACTCCACCTAGTTACACCCCCCCTTACTCTGCAATCCCCTCCCCCACCTTTAAATAAGGTATAAAAAATATTGTCTTAGAAGAAAAAGGCACACACACCAGTCCATGTTCATTTTTCCTACTACTGCTTAAAATGTATACTCAGTGACTAAGATAATGTTCTGAGTATTAATTAAAAGACAGTATTCATTAATTAAAAGATAGTATTAATACTGTACTTTGATGTCAGGTCCTAGTGAAGGAAGTAAAGCCTTTGAAGGAACAGATTCCTTAAAGATATAGGATAAGAACTGGACTATAATTTCATCGATATGAGAAGTTCCCTACTGAAGTAAACTCCCTCTTGGCTAATGTAGATTGGCATTTTCTTGACAACTTAAAAGATTAAGTGACTTGCCCAGGGCCACACAGCCAGGATATATCAGTCAGAACTTGAACCCAGCTCTTTCTGATCCCAGGGCTGACTTTAAAAGACAGGTTAATTCATTCTTTTGCACATCAGTCATCTCCAGATGGGCCCAAGTCCTTTAGTGTCATTTTCCTTAATAAAGACTAACTTCTCTACTGTTTCTTTTTTCTCCTACCCTGCCTCTAACCTCACTATGAAGTTC